ACAGGCATACGCGACCATGGGTTTCTGTACCTGCATGAAGACCGTCGAGATCACCAAGCACAAGATGGCCGCCCAGGGCGTCAAGCCCCCCAGCACCTTCGCGACTTTCATGGATATCTACCGCAAGGAGGGCATTCGTGGTATCAACCGTGGTGTCAACGCCGTTGCCATTCGCCAGACCACCAACTGGGGATCCCGCTTCGGTTTCTCTCGCCTGGCTGAATCCGCTATTCGCAAGGTCACCAACAAGGATGAGGGTCAGAAGCTCAACGCGTTTGAGAAGATCCTGGCTTCCGGTCTCGGTGGTGGTCTCTCTGCCTGGAACCAGCCCATTGAGGTGATCCGTGTCGAGATGCAGAGCAAGACTGATGACCCCAACCGCCCCAAGAACCTCACCGTGGGCAAGGCCGCCAAGTACATCTACGACCAGAACGGCATCAAGGGATTGTACCGGGGTGTGGCTCCCCGTGTGGGTCTGGGAATCTGGCAGACCGTCTGCATGGTGGCACTTGGTGACATGTAAGTGGAACAAACTTTCCCCTCTCTTGCATTATCAATACCCCGGGCGGAGCACTTCCTACGGGGGTGGCGCCCCGATCTTCATGTGATAACCGAGGAGTGAACTGGAGCTAACGTGTGGGTCTCCGTTACCCCGAACAGGGCCAAGGAAGCAGTCGAAAAACTGACGGGCGACAAAGTCACCGCTAAGCACTAGAGAAGGTTTGAGATACCCTTCTGCCATGCGCGGTCTCGGTCGGAGGAGCGGATGCTAGATAATCTTACCCATACGGTGTGGAACTTGCTCGGTCCGTAGCTAGCTATGCATAGGTGCCGACGAGCATGCCGCAAGAAAGTCTTATGAAACCAAAACTACCTTAGCATAATAATGTTAATATATTCCATATACCATTAGGCCATCTTTGACCATACGTTGACTTTCCATCGGGAGAAACACATGCACAATTGCCTACCTGTGTTCTGACGCCGTTCGTTTGTTTGTTTGTTTGTTATGCATTTTCCCAATTTATCAAATCCATATATCCCGTGTTACCGAGGAAGAACAGAGTGGAATAAATACACAGTAGAGCCAGCCACCACATACCTAGGTAGATTCACAAGCTCGCTACTATCTACTCCGGCGTAAATGCCCGTCCTGCCTACTCTCGGCTGAGGTATGACAGTCTCTAGTCAGCCAACGGCCCCTTCGGGAATGAGGGCAAGCCCGGGCCTCTCTCCCCTTCCCACACGGCTATCTTAACACAGTCTTAAATGAAAGTGACAATCAATCAATCCGTCCGTCCGTCATCTGTCATATTGCACGGGTTTAATCTCTTCCAAAACCCGAATTCCAGGGCCGGCTGGCTGACACTCACAGCCTTACCATCCGATCATCTTACTAGAATATAGTATAGTATAGTATAGTATAGACTAGTATGTATGTAAACCAAATACGGACCTTACCCCCCTCCTCCTCCTCCTCCTCCTCCTCCTCCTTCTAAAACCAAAAATTTCCGATATCGCATATATTAATATAGGCTAGTATAGTATATGTATGTACTTTTGTTCGAATGATTGTACTCTTTATTTTTCTTGGTGAACCCTCTACGGTAACTATTCTCCGAGCATCCCAGTCATGGCTTGCATATGATTATGATGGCGTGTCTCACTAAATCATGTACTGTCTAGTACTACTACTGCATATGTATGCGGGCATCCCTGTTCTAATTTGGGTCAGGTGATTGACGGCATTATGGGTGTTGTAAGCACGTGTGTCTTAGCAGTTCAGTTGAATGCCCATATCTATGGTATCTATCTATTCATTTGTCGATGTGCGTTTTGATCGGCTGTATCTGTGTGGATTGTGTGTGTAGAAATACTAGTAGTAAACAGTGCCGGTGAATTCTAGGACGAGTCGATGGTTTTATGTACAGTACATTCTTTTTATATGAAGGAATCATCTATAAGTGCCTGTCTTTTATTGGGTGGTTGCGGGTTATTTCATTGTGAAGGAGTCGTGAATGTGAAAGTAAAAGAGGAAGACGGGTGACCTTGATATTTTCGTGGTAGGGCAGTCGGGAGTTGATAAGTACTTAGTACATCAGTACTGGTAATTAGTATTAGCAGACAGGTAGGTAAGACTGGTAATATAGCATTACTATGCATATGCTGGCCCATTATAATAGCATTGATACTATTTCTGTGTTGATATTGATAGTAGTAGAGTACTAGTATAATATATATTCACTATAAGTTACATCATTGAGTTAGAAGCGGAAGGTGCCGCAGTCGAATAGTATTACACTCTATTGATAATGTCCACAAGAATGACTTCAATTAGCATTTTTTGCCTATCGATTGGTCACAAACTTGTTGAGACGGTTTTTTGGGGGGCATGCTTTGTGTATCGGGGTGTCGGGTTTCATTTCAACGCTGAGTATCATGTGGTGTAGAATTGATATGAGATGGTTATTACTTAGCTGCTACTGAATGAAAATGGTGTAGTACTACTATAGATATATATATACTGGGGGTTATGGTTCCATGATGGTGTAGTACCAATACCATATTAGACGTGCTTAATACTACTAAGGCTGATAAAATATATATATCCCTCCGTTTATCGGATATATAGCAACAGCAAGGAGGAACAGGGAAATCATATACCAGAGAAATCAAATTCGATACATTTTGCAAATTGTGTTTTCCAAAACTATTCACAGTAAGTTACTGCAAGCAGCCTACATCGCAGCGAGAGAGGTATTGAACAAAGATGGGTTAAGGTACAATTGTATTACAGACACACAACTACAGCCACATCACAAAAGAGAATATCTGCGGAAAGGTCGATCTAGACACATGATAAAAAATAGAGGGGGTGTTCGGTTTTTTCCAAAGCCAGTCTAATATGTATTGTATACATGTTTAAACAGTCAGACCAAGGTCCTCGCTGTAGGGGAGCTGGAAGAGGTCTCCAACAGTGGCGACGGAGGCCTTGCCAGACAGGAAGGACTTGGCAACCTGTGTGTAAAACGTTAGCCGTTGCTCCCCAAAATAATTATTGCCGCAGAAAACCAGAGGAGGTGAACTGATAAACTTACATCCTGGACCTGAGCCTCAGTGACGGCATCAATGCTCTGAGCAACCTCACCAATCTGGTAAGGCTTGCTGCCGTTGATGAGAGCGGAACCGGTAGCCTCGACACCAGTCTCAAGGGTCTGGGCGGACTCGAGAGCGCGGAACTTGGCGAGGGCAACGGCCTTCTTGATCTCCTCGGCGGCAACCTCACCGGCGGCAACCTTCTTGAGAAGGTCGACGGCGTTCTTACCAACAGAAGTGATCTGGTCGGCCTTACCGGAGAGAGCAATGGTGAAGAGACCAGCATCCGAGTAGGTCAGGTTCTGGGTCGAGGCACGGACCTGGGAGAAGCCCTGGGTGGCCTGGGCGAGGAGGGAGAAACCGGGGGTCCACTTGATGGAGGACTCACCACCCAGGAGGGCAGCGAGGACGGAGGCCTCGGGCTTGTAGGCAGCGGTTCCGAAGGCACCGGAGCCAGGGAAGGCAATCACAAGGGCGTTACCGGCCTTGGTGGAGACACGCTGCTCACCACCGTAGTACTTGGAGGCAGCGCTCTGGAGCTGGGCACCGCTGGGGACGGCCTTGAAGAAGTCACCAACCCACTTGGAGACGTCGGCGGAGCTGGCACCGCTGCCAACAAGAGCGATGTTGGACTTGGCAAAGGCCTGCTGAGCGTACTCAGCCAGAGCCTCAGCGGAGAGGTACTTCTCGAGGGGAACGGTGGTCGAGGGGGTGATGCTCTCACCCAGGCCACGGTGGAAGGCGACGGCGTGAGCGGCATCGACAGCGAGGGCCTCGGGGTTGGCGGCAAGGGCCTGTTGTCTGTACTTGAGGGTCTTGAGGACAACCTCGCTCAACTCGTGGGCTGAGAAGCCGAATTAGACAGGTTCGTCTGACATTTGGAGGAGGGGGAAGGGGTGGCGGCATATTCCGGTTGTCTCCTTACTCACCTGCAAACTTGGTCTGAGAAGCAACCTCGGCGAGAAGTTCAGCGAAGTAGGGGAGATCGCCAGAAAGGAACTTGGCCTTGAGGACGACGTTCTCGCGAGAGTGTGTAGAGGAAACTTCACCGCCCAGCAGTTCGACTTCCCGATTGATCCGCAGTGCCGAGCGCTTCAGCGTAGACTGTTACATTGATAAGAAGAATTGGTTAGCAATTGCCTTAGAAAATAGTGTAGTAGAGAGCGTGGATGTCGGATTGAAGCCAGGAAGGACGAACCTTGAAAGCGAACTGTTCGAGGGCATCGGAGAAGCCAGGGACGGGCTGGTAACGGGGACCAGCCTTTGCAACCAGAGCAAGGGTGCTGGTAGGGCCAGCAACTTCCCGGTTGGCGACCTTCACACCAGCAGACTCAGAGACATCGTACTGGAGACCAGGAGTGGCAGCAGAGGCCATGCCCCGACGGCTGCTGGCGCCAGCAGCAGAGCACTGCTTCTGGAGCGCACGGGGCGCATTCCGGCTGAAAGTAGACCGCGACAGCATCATCGCATGTGTGAGAGGGATAGAGGAGGGCGAGGAGAATGGTTAGCCGAGAAGCTCGACAGCAATTGGGAGGGTTGAGAGGAGTGGGAGCAGGGGAAGGCTGCTGGCGGTCGTTGGGCGGATCAGAAACGATGTCTGAAAAGCTTCAAGATGCCGGCTGGTCTTGATTACTCGCCCCGTGATTGGCCCGAAATGCGAGTGCGGGCGGAACCGGCTTTTCCTCGTCCTCCGGGTCACCTGATTTCTTATGTGAGCAGTTGTCCTGTGCAAAGTAGTAATAACTTAATGCCTCAGGCTGAAAATAACCATGACATTTTGCAGATCACGCTTTCTCTCCTTCTCCGATTGCCGAAAAAAAGTATCCCCAATCTTGATCATCGTTGCTCCGGCTTCTCCATTTCGCGCCTGTCGTTCCTTTCTTGCACTTTACCTCATGCGATTCCCTCGGTGACCTTCCCCTCACTTCTAGAGAATTGAAGCTTTTCGCATTCTCTAGAAGCCATCCATCATGACTTCCCAAGTATGCGATCAATTCCCCTCCCCTCTCTTCCCGCCCCTCATCTTTAACCACTGCTAATGGTCCGAGTAACAGTACGCGGCAGAGCTATGTGCGCTCTTGGTCGAGGATAATTTTGGGGAGCTTTTTGCGGTATGCTCGCTTTTGCTCACTTGGTAACCCGCTGCATCCATGAAAAACCATATAGTCGGTGTCAATTTGCGGGCCACATCGAGCAACAGGCTGACCGTCATCTGTCTTCGCCAGCGTATCTTCTCAACCCTCCAGCGCTATGACCGGCTCTCATTACCGCGACTAAAGTTCTATTCGCGCCTCTCCGATCGTCAACTTCGTCATGGACTTTCCGCCATGATTCAACACCACCTGGTGTATCATTACACTTCTTACGACGATGGCGTTACCTATTACGAACCAAACCTCCAGGCTGCATATTATCTTGTTCGCTCTGGCAAGATCCTGGAGTTCATTGAAGAAAGGCTTGGAAAGTATGCGGCTACCCTTATGGAAACCATTATGTATCTCGGACACGCACAAGTCGGCCACCTCGAAACCATCCCGGAACTACAACCCGCACCACCTAAAGCGAATGGCGTGAAACAGGAAACCGAAGGTGGAGAGACCGAAGAACAGATGAATGGCGATGATGAGCACACCTCCGAACAGCCGGCGCTATTACATCCTACCCTGAAAATCCTGGCTTCCCACGGTTATATCTTTCGTGTGCGCGATGCGCAATTCCAAAGCTACGCTGACAACGCCCTGGATGCGGAACGTGCCATTAAGTCGCGACCTGATGTCAAGCAGCTAAAGGGTAAGAAGCTGGACGAAACAGTCCTGGAAGGGACTCTTACTCTTTTGAAGGAAAGACTCGATGGGGACCTTACCCGCGGGCTCATGCATAACGGGTTACCCCGGGGCGCGAAGAGGAGGCATGGTGCCGGGTCTGCGGATGCTTCAAACAAAAAGGCACGGATGGACTACGCCAATGCTGATGAGGATGATGATGAAGAGGAGGAGAATGAATGGTCGGATGACGAGATGGGTGGGGATACCACTCCCATGGAGGTGAGACGCTGCATAAAACTCTCATATATATCCGCTTGACTGATGGTTTTGTTCAATATAGTTGGCTACTGTTGTCCGCGTGAACTATGAGAAACTCGACGTTGCTCTTCGGAACCGACGGTTTTTGGATCTTGCGGAGATGAACTCATCGCCAGCAACCGCACAGGTCTACGAGGGCCTCCTACGACGCATAGAATACCAAACCAAGCAATGCCGAGATAGTGCTGAGATACCGCGCGAAGGAGAGGAAGGCGAGCAATACTCTGTCCCCATCGCTCTTAGTGCGGTGACAGAAGAAGTCGACCCGCAGTTGGACCTTGCAGGCTCTATAGGTCCGATGGAGATACCACAGGCCATCAACAAACGTGGGAAACGGCCTTTGGAGGACAGTGTCAATGGAACCGACCGTGAAGGATCAGAAGCCCCCAGCCGCACCTACGAGGTAGACCAACACCTTTCTCTACTCTCGCAGCCCCCCTACAACCTCACATCTAAGCGCCTACTTTCCGGACTCATTACCTGGACCGTCGAATTCCGACACCTAGCGCGCAAGCTCCGCCACCTAGAACTGGAACGGATGATCGAAGCCCGCTACGGCGACGTCGCTTTACGAGTGATCCGCGTACTGCACGCCAAGGGCAAGCTCGACGAGAAGCGCCTACAGGAAATCAGTCTTCTCCCCTTCAAAGACTTGCGTCAAGTCCTCGCTAGCATGCAGTCCGGTGGATTCGTGGATCTGCAAGAAGTCCCCCGAGACGCACAGCGACAGCCCTCTCGTACGATCTACCTCTGGTACTATGATCCGGACCGCATCCGGAGCAGCATTCTGGAGGACACGTACAAGGCTATGTCAAGATGTATGCAACGCCTGCGCTTCGAGCGGAACCGACTCAAGGAGTTCTTGGAGAAGACGGAGCGGAGTGACGTAAAGGGCAATGAGGAACGCTATCTATCTCAGGCTGAGTTGACCCTGTTGGAGCAGTGGAAGGCTAAAGAGGCCTTGTTGCTTGGAGAAGTGGCCCGGTTGGATGAGATGGTTGCGGTCATGCGAGACTACTGATTGGAATGATCGATTGCATCCCCGTTTCTTCTTCTATGATCAAGGAATATGACGTTTGGAACGATTCCACATATCAATGCTGTATGTCTCAGGCATGCATATTATATTATATACATCTAGATGAGTTGCCATAGGCAGTCTGCATCCAAAGCCTTTGCTGGCTTTTGCCTACGTCAATGTATACTATCAATACCAAAGTAACCTCCATACCCAATCGTATTTCACGAAAATACCGAGAAGTTGCGTTCTAGATACAGTAACATCAAAAAGAGGGAATGTCCCCGGAGGTAAGTGAAACACGCCCGCGCGACAGGATACCTTACGCGAAAAGGCTCAGCTAGCTACTGCCACCACGAACGAAGCGCTGCCAGAAGCAGGAGGGGCCGAAGAAAAGCAATAGGGCCATGTACAAGAAGTGAAAAGGGAACAGGAAATGGCAATGGAGAAGAAAAATGCAGCTTACACCCGGAACCCCTTCTCATTAACCCGTGCGAAAAGAGACAAGAACCACCCCGTTTATTAACATTTCCAGAAATGACAGAAGCAGCCACCGTAACCACAAAATAAAAAGCCATCAAGATACGTGTAACGTCACCCGACGCTTCCCAGTAAAACACCGGTCTATACTTTTGCTCAAATCCACGCTCGTAACACATATCAAATCATAGTGATCTTTAGGCAGGGGTCAGTCCAGCTCGGGAATTAACTCGACTACGAGGTTTCAATCGTAGCCCTATGGAGAGGGGCCTATCTCGACACTGGTGGCTGCCGATTCCGTATCAACGGCATTTGCTTCTTTCCCATTTTCAGGGTTCGTTGTGTTGTCATCACGCTTTGCCGGCCCCTTTCCTTCCCCCAGGCGCTCTTCAGCGACTGCTAATTTGCCCTTTGTTTCTTCCAGTTCCTGTTGTAATGCTTTGATATAATCAATAGCCATCTCCACAGTGCTAGCCTTGCTGATAGGTTGGTTTCCAGCCTTTTCCTTCTCCTTCTCCTTCTCCTTCTCCTTTTCTTTTTCCCCTCCCTTGGCGTTGCAGATTGCAGCTTCTTTAGCATGCTTTATCTGAACGAATGATGCCGGGATAAGGGTCTCAATCTCTTTGAGCGCATTGTTGATGCGATTCCTCCGTCCCTGTTCTGCGAGTTTATGATTTGTCCGCTTTGAGCTCAGATTCTCGGCCAAGGTTTCAGGGTAGGAGACGCCAGGCAAAAGAGTGCCATCTAGGATATGCTGATAGTTCGACTTTGACGCAAGGTACAGGGCTGAAGTTTCGCTTGTAATCCCTCCTAGACAACACTGGTTAGCTTGATACGCCGCAAAAGGTGCCCAGGAGCAACTCTCCAGTCGATCAAAGACTGCCGGGCAAGGCGCAGACTGCGTAGAAAGCACTTACCATCACCGCGCACCAATGGTTGTATACTGGGGCTTATCTTGGGACGTAGATTAGGGCTAGGCTGAGACGAGCTGAGACTCTGCCGCTTTCGGCCTAGAGGCCCTAATTTCGGAGTATCAGACTTCTTGGGCACCGGTCCGCTAGGGGAGGGCATAGCCAAAGAACGGGGGCTGGGCGCGATAGAATTGGAAGGTCTGTTGACCACTGGGGCAGACTTGGGCTCCATGGCAGGGGTAGCGCTTCCTGGCGTAGTAGTTGAAGAGGTCGAGTCCGCCCGTACCGTGGTGTCAATGCGGCTCACTGGAGGTCTCGAGACTGATCCATATGAGGTAGCTGATTCTGGAAGGACAACATCTTCCATAATATCGTCATGTGGCTCAGAGGGAGCAGGCCTGGACACAGTTGCCATCGGACCAGTAGAGGCGTTGCTGTGTGGGGACCGTTGGATGCGCATCAGCAAAGCCGGGGTTGCGGGTTCATTGGCTTGCGACACCTGAGTAGTCTGGGGGGCAATTGCGGGAGACTTGCGGGACGGAGGAAGAGCAGGTGGCGGCATCAATGGTTCAGATAGAGGCTCTGGAGAGACGGAATCCTGCCCAGAGCTCTCGTTACTCCCGTAGCGGAGACCACTACCACCGGAGCTGCGCGATTTGCTACTTCCCTGGTCCTGGCTTAGACTATTCAAAACCTCATCCGAGTTGATGTTCAAAAGTGACTTTTTCCGTGCCTGGGGCCGAACTGAAGGCGATTGTTGCTTTTTAGCGCGAGCGGAGAAGGACTTGGTGTTTGAAGGCTGGCGCCGATGTTTCCGCATCAGACCCGGCGAGGAGGGGGCTGACGACATAGGGAGTGCATTATCGGCTGGGGAGGGCACGAATCCCATTTCAGAGATTTGGCCGGTGTGGAAGGGATAACCAGTGGGATTGGAAGTGTGAGCTTCGAGAGCCGGCGAGGTGAGAGGGGTGAAGTACTCTCCAGGGATGGTGTATTCAGGGAAGCGGAATTGACTTTCCAATGGGGTCATGGCAGGTGAGACCAGGGGGGTGTAAAGGGCCTGCGAAGAGCGGGTGCATGCATTAGATCATGCAGGCTAAACTCCAGATCTTGAATGGACCATGCTTACCTGTTCGTCATTCATTCGAGTGAACCGCTCGTACATCTCATGACCGTCATCAGTCCGGTGAGAGTGCGTAGCGGCACTTCCCTGGAGCTCGATACTGTTAGGGGTGGGTGGTATCACAGTCTGACCATGAGGAACGTAAGCCTGTGTCGTCGGGTGCGAGTGGTGGGACATCTGGTGTGACTGTTCCTGCATCGGTTGGTGCTGCTGTTGAGGGTGAAAGTACTGGGGCTGCGGGGGCTTGTGCGCGTAGAATGCCGGGGTGACTGGGGCATTCGAGTATGACGAGGGATGCGGCTGGACCTGCTGCCCATGGTTGGAGAGGTCGAGAGAGAAATCATTGTTCATGAGGTGGGCGTACGACGGCGACTGGGTGGTAACATTATCGGTATCCATGCGGACCAATTGCTCCTGCGCAGGTGCTGTTGTGGCGGGCATCGACATGGAGGCCGGGTGGGCAAGAGGCCGGGAAGCGTGAGGGTCACTTGGCCCATGCCCCTCCACATCAGGGAACTGCATGCCAAACTCGAGGAAGTTGGAGAATTCATCATCGCCCGGGTTGGTCATATCTGACCAAGCTAGAGGATGCTCTTGCTCCATGACGAGGAATGCCGCCTTCCGAATAGTAACAACAGGTTCAGAGGAGGAGAATGGAAGACAAGACGCTGGAGATGACCGATCGGAAGTGGGATTTTAGGGTGCGGGCGAAGTGAGGGCCAATCGTGCCGGAGAAAAGGGAAGGCAAAGTCAAAAGCAAACCCGGTAGGCTAGGAACGAATGATTTTCGGGACCGCGGCGCAAAAGAGAGGAAGGGAATAACAGGGCGGGAGAGCAAAAAGCTCAACAAGAATTGCTGGGCATGGCGAGAGCGGTGACGATAGTAAAGAAGAAGAGGAGGCGATGGTGATGATGGTAGGTAATGGTAAGGCTCAAGCCCAAGTAGACGTAGTATGAGGGAAGTACGAAGGAGAAGAGGTAGAGAGAGAGAGAGAGAGAGAGAAGGAAGGAAACGGTAGAGGAAGCAGAAGGAGAGGGTACCGGCGGTAGTGGAGGGGGCCACGGAAGGAAGACAGAGAGCACAGGCAGGATACAGAACAAAATTAATTGAGGAACTAGACTCAAGAGAGTAAGTGAAAATCAAGAGATTAATCCTGCCGTAGTCGAGATTTAATTTCTTAATTGTTGACAATATAGCGAAGCAGCAGAAATGGGTGTACCATTCATTCAAGCCATGGTGGAAGGTTAATTAGCGGACAGAGGGCGGGGGGGCAACAGCGGCGCAGGAGAATCGTAAAGAGTGGACTTTTAGTTAACTAGTTCATGGTGTAGTAAGTAAGTGAGTCGATTAGTTACTGGGGGGAGGGTGGAAAAATTGTGGATAATCCTCGGAGTCCCTAAAACGCTAAAGGATAAGTTCGACGGCTTTTACAGACACAATCTGGTCCGGAGGTGCCAGTCCGGAGAAGAGGAGAGGAGGAGTTTCGACCGGAGAATTGGAAAGGAAATGAATGAAGGGACTAGACCAACTTGGGTCGGTCTTGCCTAGGCAAGTAGGTATGGTCGCTCTGGTACCTTGGTATTGTATCACCATAACCAATACATTACTAGTGGAATCTCATCTGTCCAATGATACTAAAATTATTGCTTGTCTTCCATTGGGTCTTGCAGAGGCCATCTTTGCCCGTTTGGGACAAGCCCCATCACAGAGCCTGAGTTGATGACAATCGGCTGGATTCGATCTAGCGCTTGGACTGCCAGCCTGTCTCTGTCTTAGGGTACCTGGGAGTAAAAACGGGAAAAAGGACACACCGAATCCCAAGGGTTGCTCGGTAGACCCAAACCAAGAAATAACCCATGCTTGTTCCTTCGGGTCGTTCAGCTGAAAAGGAAAGCCGCCTCGAGGCTCTCGGCTGGTAAATCCAGGTATGGGAGCAATTACTACTCCTGAGCACAGCCCTCCGCACAATTAAAACTTGTTATACGTACCCACAATTCCCCAACGATATAAATTGTCGGCGTGGGATATTTGCGCACATATCACAGCCGGTCAATAAACATCTAAATTATGGTGTGGAGCTTCGTGCTGCGGATAATAACGGTCCGGATCTAGAGAACAGTAGATACTACCTAGGTTAGTAGTGCTTGTGTAGATATTGACTTTTAGCAGTTGTCCTGTGTGGCAGGTTTCCTGCAGCGTGCAGCGAATTTCCTGCTCTTGGTCTACGCCTCCCTTCTTCTTCGATGCAATCGTAGCAGTTTGTTTGTGACGATATAGCACGAATAAAAACAACAATAGCAGGGACAGATCATGGCCACGGCCCAGAATCTCTGCAGGGGTGGGAATGTGACAAATCAGCTCTCAAGAAGACAGCCTGTCTCCCAGCTCTGCCATCCACGGAGGGCTCCATCCCGGGGGCCCTCTCCCTCCAAACACAAAGTACTTCACTAGTATTTACTTACAGCAGATGGTCTACTACGTACTCTGGTAGTGTGGGTGGGTAACATTACTAGGCCCCACCTAATGGCGACAGAGGCAGGGGTCAGAATGGAGCCCTTCGGAGAGGGTAACTTTAAGCTAAACTAACAGCACGATTTGACTCCTTCAACGACTGGCTGCCGGGTTAATTCTTCCCTGCCTTTCAACTTTGCTTCTTTTTAGTGGTTGGCGTTGCTCACGGCCTAGTAGAA